CTGGGGGGGAAATGTCAGTGCGTCTTATGGAGCGAATATGGAGCGGCCGGTCCGGTATTTCCACCGCGGCCGTGTCAGAATACCGGGCCGGCCGCTCAGCTCTGCAGCGGGACCTTACCTGTTCCTTTATCCAGCGGCGCGCTGTCTTCCGGCTTCTGTAGTGTGGGCACTGGGCATGACAGCCGGGTGCCAAGTGCGCATGCGCAAGAAGCGGTGCTTTTTGTGAATGGTAAGGCGGTACCTGGGACACATGACAGATCCCAGAAGCCGCCGGACCAATCACAAAGCGCAAGTGCTTCTCGCTCATGCGCACTGGGCACCCGGTTGTCATGCCGAGCGCCATTACAGAAGCCGGGAAGACAGCGCACGGCTGGATCGAGGAACAGGTAAGATCAAACAAAAACTCTGCGGAAGTAAGAGCGGGTACCTGTCAAATTCAGGTACCCGCTCCCCACCTCCCCAAAGGTCAGCAGTTATCTGTGCTGTCCGCAGTCTCTGGTCATCCCTGTGCTGTCCGCAGTCTCTGGTCATCCCTGTGCTGTCCGCAGTCTCTGGTCATCCCTGTGCTGTCCGCAGTCTCTGGTCATCCCTGTGCTGTCCGCAGTCTCTGGTCATCCCTGTGCTGTCCGCAGTCTCTGGTCATCCCTGTGCTGTCCGCAGTCTCTGGTCATCTCCTGTACTGTGTCTGCAGTCCATTAGTTCAGAATTTTTTTTTTCCTGTTTTCTGCCTCTAAAACCTAGGTGCGTCTTATGGTCAGGTGCGTCTTATACGGCGAAAAATACGGTAACCATTTAGAACTACAGGGTCCTCTGCCCTGTACTGTACAATTAATGGAGTACTACAGGCACAAATGCCTATGCTCTAAAAGGTTAGACACTGACAAGGTTCCCTTGCTGGCATCTTCTCTCCAGCTTCTTTCGGGTGCCAGTCTTTGGCAATCTTGACTGGCCAGCATGAGGCGAAATCACTCCAGCGCACACGTGGGAGTGCATTCATCCCAACATAGAGGATCTATGCCAGAATGTAAATTGAGCTGCACATGTGCAGCTCAGTGTACATTCTATAGGGAAATGTGAACATTGCAAGAGCTTTCTATGGGGGCAGAAACTGAAAAGGAGGAGTAAACAGTGCCACTGGGGGATCCAAGAAGAAGAGGTTCGAGGCCCTTCAGAGCCATTCTGTACAATGTCACTGCACACAGCAGGTAAGTATAACATGATTGTTATTTTAATTTAAAAAATTGCCTTTAGTAACACTTTAACTGAAACATTCATTAGACATATTTATAGCTGTGCTGCAATGTCACACAATGAGAGATCACACATTTCACATAAGTTTAAAGATTAAATAAGAGACATTTTCTATGGCCACTAAATGATGAGAATGAAGTATAATGTACTATAAATAGTGACAAAGGAAAACAAGCAGCTGGGAAAAGTACACAGAGGTTGATCTGAGTTTGCAAATAACTTCAATCAGACTCAATAGAATCAAAATAAGATACATGATTCTAGTGTTATAAGAGACAAAGAAGACAATACAATGACATTTTCAGACATAATAAATCATGATACCGTTGTCTATCAAGAGACAGTCAATATTTGTAATGCCTTTTTGTGAATTGTCAGCTGTGTGTGCATAATTCATGGAATAGCATGCAAAAAATAGTAATTTATTTAACAGTCTCTGCCTACATTATCATGTACACATACTGACACAAATACTCCTTCAGGACCAGCCCACATGCAGTATTGTGCGTTTTGTCTGCATAGAAAGAAAAGCATGGAAAGTATACATATAGTATAATGCATGGAAAGTATATGCCATAGTTCACACCAGTGAGGTCAGTTTCAGAAAGAAAAAAAAAAAAAAAAAAAAAAGAGAACATGCTGCATTTTTCCTGCACTGGACTGTATTGTTCTGGAACGCATAAAAATGGATGAAAATTGCACTGAACCCTAGTACAGTGAAAAAAAAAGAAAAAAGCATCTGGATTACATCCAGAAACACATAAAAAAATGAAATAAAACCGCACCAAAACGCATCAAAAACACGCATGCAAAGATGCATCCGGAACGGATCAGGAGTGCGCTTTTGTTGTGTGAAGCAGCCCTCAATGGAAAAGTAAAAATGGCGTATGACCAAATCATTAACTATACAATACTTTAAAAATGATGTCAGTATTATTGTTAATTTTGCAACATACTCACCGGGCTTTGCCTCTGTATTTAGAAAAAGAACAGAAAAGAAAGTGGAAATTATTAACAAAGCACTAAAAATTCCACACTATAGTAACAGTAGGAATCTGTGAGATATAGAGAGGGGAATTGATTAAAACTGGAGCAGGCACAATTTGGAACAGCTGCGGATGGCAACCAATCAGCTTCTTTCATTTTCAAGCCTAAAGTATAACTAAAGGCAAAACATTTTTTTTTAGAAAGAGTGTAGAGCTATTAGAACACCTGTCAGGTTTTTTTTGCTGTCTTTGCCCGTTAGGGAGATTTATCCTCTCTATTTGTCTTGTTTACCATTATTATTGAAAGTGAAAGTAAAAGAAAAAAAAACTAATTTTGGGTTGCCCCAGAAAAGTCAGAGGGGAAATCTTCCAATGGAGACACCAGTTCTGGTGACCTGGGGGTCCCCAAGGGATTCCCTTAACTTGTAGGGATGTCCTCTCACTGCCTGTCTGGCTATTGTACAAGAGGTGAAGGGAAATCTCAGCAATGGACAAAATCTGACAGGGGTTATAACCCTACCTTGCTCCATTAAAAAAGAAGAAAAGTTGCCTATAGTTCTACTTTAACTGAACAAGCCAAAGATGGAAGCTTATTGGTCACTGTGCACAGCACCTCCTGATTCTGTCTGCTCTAGTTTTCATATATCCCCTCCAGAGTATTCAAACAGTTAAAATACAAAACGAACCTATAAATATTTCTTCAGTACTTGACCTGATAAAAGATTTGGAATGTTGTTCAGATATTATTGTAATTTATTGAACCCTGCCAGACAGGTAACACCCCTATATTCTATGCAGCTTCCTGTGACGCCTGCCTGCTCCAACGACAATTGGAGCCCATTCACACCAATGTGCTGCATTATGAAGCATGTCAACATATGCCAATTTAAGGCAACCCAGTTATACTAAAGGGCTGCCTACTGGACACATGTCCATTGGCAAGGAGCATTGGGAGTGACATGCAGAATGAATGGCAATGCATCACATCACCAAGCATAGCTCACGTTACCGTAGAGCAATGGTGTGAATTAGCACTGATGATGAAGGTCCATTGCCTGGCTGGCAAGGCACATAGGATACTGCACAGCTGAAAGATAAAATAATGGTGGCACCTTTTTCCAGGTAAATCAGTCGGAATATATGCATCTCAATGGCATGTTGAGCTCTTTGCAGACAACACTTTAAATTAGTTCTAATATATTCCATCACCTAACAATTGTAACTCTTAAGATATGTGCATTTACTCTATACTGTCACACATTTTCATATTAAGTTTCCAAATATCTGTGGTATTGTTGTAAAAATAGGTTTTTTTTTGGTCTCCAAATCTCCAGTACCAATTATGATACAACTGGGACAACCATAAAGTTGAACCCAAGGATGAGGAAATATTGTCTGAATACAAGAGGCAGTTGTATTTGTACTTGTATCTTGGTATGCTTTGTGTATTTCTTCCAGATCTGTACAGCAATCCACTGGGAGGCTCCATGCACACTAGCAGCTGGTAAAGCGCTAGAAAAAATGCTGTATAAAAAACAGCTAATATTAGCATTTTTGCCAGCGTCTTTACAGTGTTTAGGAGCGCTAGTGTTTGTAAAGAGGCGGTGGCTGAAGGCGGCCTTAAAGACCAGTAGGTTGTCAAGGAGCAGGCCAGCAAGCTGGCTGCCATGTCCTTAACAACAAAGGAGTCACCAGCGGGGCTCTCCGCCGGCAATGAAAACTTCAGAAAAAAAAGTACAGGGGTCCTTTCAGGTCTGGTATGGATTTTAACCTCATGCTAAAATTGGGGGGGGGACACATTGGCGCCCCCCCAGAAGTCCATACCAGACCCATAAATTTTGACCTGGGGTTCCCCTCAAAATCCATACCGATTTTTTTTAATTTTGACATGGGGTTCCCTTCAAAATCCATACCAGACCCGAAGGGCCTGATATGGATTAGGGGGGACCCCCACTCTGGTTTTTTTTGACAGCTGTTGTTAAGGGCGTGGTGGCCGGCTTGCCAGCCTGATCCTTAACAGTCAGCTATGCACTGAAAAAGAAAAACAGCTGGAACGCAGCATTTAAGAGCTGTTAGGAGCATTTAGTGATTTTTTTTTTCTACTGTCAAAAAAAAGGCTTTTTTCTGCTCCAAGAAGCTGAAGCTTAAAAAACGCTTCTAGCCTACAACAGTGTGCATGGACACATAGGATAACACTATTTTCTTCTAGGGGCAGGAAAAAAAGCGCTCATAAGTAGCTGCTAGGAGCTCAAACATAAGCTAGTGTGCATGGAGATTGAAATTTTGCCATTGTGCAGGAGCTTCCTGTAATAAAGACCGGTTACTGCTGCTCTCTCTCCTTGTGCAGGATGACTGGTCTCCACCCCCTGCTGTAGATATCTGCAGGCACACAAAGGGGATTTATATCCTTTGTGATTATTGAGGAATTTATTTTAATAATTATTTTTTTTGCCTCAACTTCAGTTTTAAGGTCTACTACATTTTCACAATCCACCTATTGAAAGATTGACTAAACTAAACTCATATGATAAAGCCTTGGAACACTCACGCAGCAGGATATCTGAAAGATACTTGAAATTATATACTTGGTATTCTAAAGCTCCAAAATGCTATAACAGCATCTGCAAGATCAGCAATAAAATATGCTTGGCTCTGTTAACTTAGTGATTTAACTAGGGATTACCATCATGTTGATTACTATCAGCAAGTTGCATGAGTTGAACGTTATACATGATTTAGATCACAGGTCATAATAATACTCACAGAAGGTGCTGGTGAAAGGGATATATTTCCAATAGAAACCTTTAGTTCATCTAGGGAGGCCATAGTGTGATGGGAGCCATTATTAGGCTGCACAGGTTTGATCTCAACATGAAATTTTTTAGGCCCATCATCATCATCAGAATCACTTGAAGAGTAAAAATGATTTTCTTTGGTATGTGTGCATCAGTTAAGAAAAGCTCTGATTAAGGTTAGATTAAAATATGTATAAAAAAGAACCTAACAATGCAAGAGACAAGTGCAATCTGCATTTAGAACAAAAACAAATGCCTTTGGTGAACCACTAAGAACAAAGTGGAAAGATACATAATTCAGGAACCAGCAGCCATTTAGAAATCAGAAACAGCTTTGTATTCACAACAAAAGAAAAGAAGAAAACACCAAAAACGGTACACTGGCCTTGTAAAGTACATCAATTATTATTTTAATGTAAAAGGTTAAGATACGCTCATAAGAATATTTATTTGAAGACTTATCCATCCACTTCTTAAGGTCTTTCACAATAATGCACTTCAAACCGAAGCACAACGCTGCTGCTATTTCCCCCTGCAGTGTGTGTTGCTCCCTAGCACTGTTCTCCGGTTTGGAGAAGTTTATTATGTAAGACCTTGAAAACTGAATAGGTAAACCTTCAAACATTAAGTTCGAGAGTTCCACATTTTAAATTAAAATAGCATTTGCTTTACAAGGTTGGTGTTTGCCATTTGCTGTCTGCATATAGCTTGGTGTCGAAGCCAGGCTGTCGGTGATTGCGGAGTTGTATGATCTTCTGAGTACTTATATGAAGAGGACAAAATTATCAAAGACTATTTTATCCATCACTGGGACCAACATCTTTATAATGATTACTGTACATTTAAGACAACACATGCAAGAGGTTTAGGAGACACAGAGCCCAACACCATTGGTTGAGGATCTTGAGCAGTTACAAAGTAAACCTTATTAGCTTAAAATGTAAGAAATGATGCTAGAAAAAGGATATAATTCTGGTTATCTTCTGGTTTTATACTGTACCCTTCATCATCAACTGCAGGAACATTCTGAAAAAGAGTGATTAAAAATGTATGTAAAGACTGTACTACACAGTAATAGAAGTACAACATTCTATACACAGACAAAAAAAATCCTTGCGTCTAAGGCCAATGCAAAATTCTTCCTCTGGTTGCATATATCCTTTGCTCAAGAACAATGGGATGAACGGAAAAAAAAAAACTGGATGAATGTGGGGATGGTGGGAATCTTCCCTGCTGTGTCTTTCTATTTTGACAGCAAGCAGACTTCCCTGCCATCAGAATACACTGATCGGCATTGCAACCTATTGCCTGCAGCACTGATCAAGAGGAAAATACCAACAGGGCAGTTGAACCAAAGTTGATCAGTAGATCACCTGCTGTTCAACCACTGTGGCCACACATGGATGGAAATTCAGCAAGTCTGTGCTGAACCGACAAATTTTGATCTAAGTATAGCCAACTTTAGACATCTCCTTTAATTGCTAGTGCTAACACAGTAGCACAAGTACTGTGGAAGAGTCCTGGAGCATTGGATAGATCATTCTGGAAAGACTAAAACAGATATTCTTAAAACCTTTCAATGAGTAAGAGCAATACTCTAGGTAGAGTAGAGATGTCCCTTGGAGTACTGAAAGGAAAACTTCCCAATAGAAAAAATGGTAAATTCACTCATGACTTATTTTTTTCAAATGCAAGCTGCTTGGCTATCATGCTGAACTTCTAGATGCATTGTGGTGATTTCTGGCTCCACCCCCTACTGACTGCACTGGTAGTCATAGCGGAAAAAGTTAACTCCCGTATCCCCCCACTTCCTGCATTGGTGCTCGTGGCAGTGAATGTTAACCACCCCATTACATCCTCCCAACCCACTGTGGATCACTTATCTTATCATATGCTCCCGCTATGCTCCCCCCCCCCCCCCCCCCAACAGGCCAGGACTTTACCTGTGCTGTGGGCAACAATAATGCCAAAAACAGTGCAGTCTCTATCACACACAGAGTGTCACAGTTCCCAGCACTCCTCTACCTGCATACAAAGGGCCCATGGGACGTGGGTTGGACAGCAGGACTTTAGATGAAGGTCTCATTTAGCTACCAGAGAAACTCTCTGCAACTTAAAAAAATGCAGTAAACAGTGCTGTTTTTCTTTCTTGAAGTAATTTATTTACTTGCTAGGGAATATGACCAGCCCAGGAAGAGTCAATTCTCTAGCACAGGGTCTTCAAACTTTCTAAACCAAGGGCCAGTTTACTGTCCTTCAGACTTTAGGGGGGCTGGACTGCGGTCAGAGGGAGTAGAAAATGCCATGCCATCACTGGAACAATGCCCCAGGCTTGGTGGTGAGCAGAAAGCAGAATAGTGCCCCATCACTGGTATTAGTGTTAGTATCAATGGGAGGAATAATGCCTAAATTTTAGTGTCAATAGGAAGAAAGACTGTATGTCTCATTGGGAAACATTATGCCACAACCTTGGTGTCACTGGAAGGAATTGTGAAACATCACTGGTGTCAGAAGGAGGAATAGTGCTCTAAGGGCCAGATAAAGCCAAGAGAAAGGCCACATACGGCCCATGGGCCTCAGTTTGGAAATTACTACCCAAGCACAACCACAATTCCCTCTCCCTCCTTCCCCTTCCAACAGTGTCAAATTACAGTCGGTGCTGGCACAGCTCCACCAGCTTATCTTTCTGTATATGACCTTTTATGTACCTGTTGGTGGGCAGTGAAGGGGAATACTACAGAGTGTCAACAGAGTGACAGCTTCAAGTCTGCTCGGGCTGCTTACATCACATCAAGATGGCAGTGCCCAACAGCAGTCTTAGGGCATTTGGATATCTACACAAGCAAGGCTTTTACGGGTAAATAACATGCCTAAAATAAGTTAAATGTGAATATTCTTTTTTTATTCCAAAAAACAAAGTTTATTGAAAACAAGATACAAATTATCACACGAAAATGTACAGATGAAGTGCACTTAGGACATACAGCAAAGCATATATCATACAAAGGCAAATGAGGTCCAACGCAACGATCAAACAGTGTGGATGAACTAGGCCACGACAGGGTTGTGCCTGTAATATTTAGGTATGCTTGTCAAGTGCTAAAAATAAAGAGACGTCTGGCCTCCCACCATAATGTCTTGCGGTAAAAATCTGTAGGGGGGAGAAGAGCAAATACGATGCCTATGTGAGAGTCAATACTACAGAATACGATGGTGGAATTGTGCGAATGTAGAAGTAATTGTCGTGGGAACCGCTAACGAATTGCGGGAGGTGATGCTGACAGAATACTCAGTGTTCTATTGGAAAAATTGTCCGAAACGTGTGTAAGCATATGAAAAGAAAAGAAAAGAGAAGGCGAGAAAAAAAGGAAAAAAAAGAGAAAGAGGAGGAGAGAGAGAAGAGAAAAAAAAAGGGGGGGGGGGGGGGGGAGGGGGGGGAAGGGAAGCAAATGGGGAGGGTAAAATAAGAGAAGGGACAACCGTCAAAAATATCTTATCCTCAATACAAACAGTAGCGGGAGTGGGTGGAACCTAAGCTATCATCGGTGTCAAAAGAATGCGTGTGTAACACGGGGGGAGTATGATGGCACCCTCAGGTCAAATATCACTAAATAACACTATCAGGAAGACCAAATTAGGTTTAGAGAGATTGGTCCATGAGGGATCGATACTCCGGGGTAGTCAGAAAATGGGTCCAGCAAGCCCATACATGAGAGAATTTCGTAGGAGTGTCGAGGGCAGTCGCAACCAGTTCTTCCATGTCCGCCGTTTTACCCACTCGGGTGAGCCATTCACGTATAGAGGGAGAGCGTGTGGAGCCCCACAGAACCGGAATACAGAGTCTGGCTGCGTTGATCATGTGCATGGCTAATGATTTAAAGTACTGAGCCCTGGGAAGGGAAGAGTGATGGAGGAGGAATTGAGCAGGAGAGAGAGCTAAGGGTAAGGTAGTTATAGACACTACTAACCTATGGACCTCCTGCCAAAATGGTTGAAGAATCGGGCAAGACCACCATATGTGAAGAAAGGACCCGTCTGGGGTCCCGCATCTCCAGCAGCTGTTGGGGAAGACGTGGTTAAAATGATGAATTCTGGAGGGAGTTCGGTACCATCTAGAGGCTAATTTGTAGCTGTTTTCCTGTGTCGAGACATTGAGGGAACATTTATGAGAGTATTGGAAGACCAGGTCCCAGTCTGAGTCCGACAGCTCAGCATTAAGATCTCTCTTCCAAGCCCGACATGCGGGGAGGGAGTCATAAGACCGGCTCTCCACTAGAAGTGGGTAGATCTCCGAGATCAGATGTTTCCGCGGTTCAGCCTTCGCGCATGCAGATTCAAATGGGGTAAGAGAGCGATGCCAGTTATGAGGGGGTTTATGAGAGAGCAGATAATGTCTGATCTGGAAATAAACCCAGAAAGGGAATTCGCGAATACCCAGGCTTTCCTGCAATTCTCGGAGTGTTTTCACCTTGCCCTTGTGGAGAAAATGTTTCACTAAGATCTGTTTGTGTGGCCAGTGTTTCATTAAAAAGTCTTTATGCATTCCAGGGGGGAAGTCAGGGTTGAGGCGTATGGGGGTCAGGGGGTTGGGTGTGTCAGAAATGGCTGCAGATCTACAAGCCGAACAGAAAATTTTTAACGTAGGTCCCACCAAAGGATGGGTGAGAAGAGCTTGTGGCGTGTGTTTCGGCGAAAGCCAAGGAATCGATGCCAGGGGGAAGGGCGAGCAAGCATTCTCTATAGATATCCAGTCTTTAGAGGCAGTGTGAACGTGCCAATCAACTATCCGGGAAAGATGACAAGCCCAATAGTAGCGGTAAAGATCAGGAAATCCTATACCCCCTTTAAGTTTAGAGAGGGTTAATTGGGAGTAGGCAATACGCGGACGTTTGTGGCTCCAAAGGAACAGTGAACACAGTCTTTTGCAAGAAGCAAAGAAAGCAAGAGGTAAGTGAATTGGTAATGTTTGGAAGAGATACAGGAGACGGGGAAGTACATTCATTTTAATGATCGCTGCCCTTCCAAACCACGAGAAACAGGGACGGCGCCATTTATTGAGGTCTTCTTGCATAGAGCGAAGAGCGGTAAGATACTTTTTCACATAAAGGTCATCAAGGTTACTAGTGAGCTGGATACCGAGATAAGTTAGGGAATCCCTTTCCCAGTGAAATGGGAATTGGGCCTCACAAGCAGAGACTAGCTCAGCAGACAAGGTAATGTTAAGGGCGGCAGATTTTGAAAAATTAATTTTAAAATTCGACAAATATCTGAAAAGGGCAAAGTCTTTCAGTAGGTTTGGGAGGGTGATGTGAGGGTCCGCCAGGAACAAGAGAATATCATCCGCATAAGCTGCAAGCTTATATTCCTTGTCTGCCACCGTGATTCCTTTAACATCAGGGTTTAAACGAATTTTCCGCAACAGGGGCTCAAGGGATAGGACAAACAAAAGCGGGGAGAGGGGGCATCCCTGACGTGTACCGTTCCGTAGATGAAAGGAGTTTGACAGATGGCCGTTCACCCGGACCCGGGCAGTAGGTGCAGAATAGAGGGCCATTATATAGTTAAGCATCTTCTCACCCAGACCCAGTGCCACTAAAGACGCGTTCAAGTAATCCCAGGCAATCCTGTCAAAGGCCTTTTCTGCATCCAAGGAGAGGAGAAAACCCAGAGTGTTAGACCTGCGAAGCCAGTGGTGGAGATTAAGGGCCTTGATAGTGTTGTCCCTTGCTTCTCTACCAGGGATAAATCCTACTTGGTCCAAATCGACCAGGGAGGGAAGCAAGGGAAGAAGACGATTAGCAATGATCTTCGCGAATAGTTTGACGTCCACGTTCAGCAAGGAAATGGGTCTATAATTGGAGACCTGGGTGGTGTCCTTCCCGTCTTTGGGGATAACTGTGATGTGAGCCTCCAACAGGTGGTTAGGCGGCCCTGAAGGTTGAGCGAGAGTGTTAAAAGCAGCAAGAAATGGGAATACCCAGTATATCTAAAAAAGATTTATAATAGGCTACTGAAAAACCATCAGG